TATTTGTAATCGGTATGTTTTTTGAAGCACTTAATACTAATTTCAGTTTTGTAAACATTGGGCGTAAAATAAATGTTTCAAGCTAAACACAATTTTTTTTTAATTTTTCGATCGTTTTTTAATTTGTCGAAGAAATCGACTATTTAAGTGTGAAAAGGAGGATCTACATGGAATTAAAGAGAATAAAATTACCTACGTTTTATACTTGTGAGTGTTTTCATCGATCAACAGTGCGATTCACTTGCGACAACATCGCGAATAATGCATCGAGACAATTCCATTATATATATTTTTTCTAATGACAAATTTCGCGAGGGTAGCAATGCCATTGCTAGAAGAAAATCCCTCAAATGCATAAATATTGAGTTATTTTACCCTATATTATTTATAATTTATTTACATCGACATTGACAAAATATGGATTTTCGAGTTACTTTGAACGAAAACTGAAAAAGTCTACTTTAGAGCTTTGATTTTGGCAAATGCGATTACAGACACAAATCTTATTAGTAAGGTAAAATTCATGTTCAAAAATTTTGTGTACTGAAGGATCTTGCAGTTATATTTCTTTCTAGAGATTGTTCTCTAGAGCGTTGTAAGTAGAAGGCAATAGACATAGAGGCCAAAAGTACAGGAAATAAGATATCATTAAGAAGTAAGCCTTTCCCCCTTCATCCGGCAACCGGGCACGGTTTCTATCACGGTGACCAGTGATCATCCCGGAAAGACGAACGCGCCCGGCAGCGGCTAACAGAGCGGAAGAGAGTGTGCCGCGCGGAGCGTCGGGCTGGCGCCGGGGCACGCGCGCGTCTCCTCCTAGCGCGCAGCCGGGTGTCGCTGCGTGCGCAGGCAGCGAGTGCGCGCTCAGCGGCAAATTACAAAGGCTGCGCGCTCGCGTTGGAAAGGTCAGCGATTCCAGCCGGTCACCCACCTCCCCGCCCCTCCGCGCTTGGCTCGTGACGCGAATACGCACTCCGCTCTGCTGCCACTTTTTGCTTCTCCTTCTCCCTCCCTTCCGCTCCCCCTCTCCCGCCCCTGCCCCGAATTCTTGGGCTCTGTGGAAACCCTTGCGCCCGTTTGGAAAGAGCCTTCTGTCCGGAGTGTTTTTCCGATACTAGGCATGCGTCTCGACGATGCAGCTCTAATAAATGTCATAAGTTGCGCTATGACTGCTGTGGGTTGGGCGGTTTTCTTTCCGGCCTCAAACGACAATTACGCACACTGCGTGCTATTCATGACGCATATCCTCCACTTACGACCTCGTGTTACGCATGTCTCATGAATAGATATTCGAATGCCTCGAATAAAACATTAATGGAAAACCAATATGAATTTGCGACCGCAGAGCCATGATGTAATCAAATAGTCATTTGTACGAAACGTATATTGATGATTATATTTCATAGAAATGAAAGTGAACCTTTTTCGAATTAATATAGAACAGAAATGGCTATTTGTGACGCGCATATTACTATTGAGTCTGTTTAATCACCTAAATGGGATTATCTGCAATTCACACTATGAATTCAAGTATTTTCTTTCTCTCGCGAAATGAATAATATTATATTTCCGCCTAGTATTTATATAATAAGATGTAATGCATATAATGTACGTATACAGTCTACTCTATTTTTCAATAAACTATAACACTTGCACAACGTCTTCTCATCGTAGTATTTATTCTATTGGTCCATGCACATTTTTTCATTCTTACCTGCAAGTTTCAAAAGGGGGAAATTATATGTTGTCTTGATATAACTAGTAAGCTAATAATGTACATTTTTTCTCCAAACTCATTTTCTGTCCACATAGAATGACGTAACGTATTGATTACAGAAGAATTTCAAGGTTGAGTTCCACAATAGAAAATTTGACATATCCCATAACAAAATAATTTTCTATTTTCAATACATCTACGTCCAGAATCACGACAATGGATTTATGTAATGAAGACTAGTAATTATTGTATTTCTTACGTTTAGCAAGCTAGTATCATCAGACCGATACTTTTTAAAATGCCACGTGTCAAGTTACAAATTACTACTTTAGCGTGGAGCCTCCGACGAGTATTTTCATGTGCATGTTTTATATATTCTAGGCAAGTTCATGAAAGGTAATTTTAACGTAATGCACTTGCGTGACACGCTCATAATAAAGAATAAAATTCCACAAAAAATATCGTGAAAGATACTCTTTAATTTCTCATGTTTCATTACAAAATTAGGGTTAACATTGAAATCAAAGCCAAAATAAATGCAGACTTCTAATTCACATGATTCAAAACAAGCACGTTGGAATTGGAAATTATTTTGTAGTATTTGATACACTGATGTATTTGAAAATTATTTTTTCAGACAAAATATAAAATCGTGTAATAGAGAAACAAATATATTCTATATAATATATTGTTAATTTCGTTGCAGTAGCACTACAACGGTTCAGATTATAAAAGTACAAAATAATTAAACAATCAAAATATCAAATATTGCTGTGGCAAAATATTGAATTATTTAATAAATAATACATGCATTTCTGGTTAAATGATTTCAGTTTTATTAATATTTTTAATAAGGCGAGGTAATGTTGATTATAATGTTCAAGTACCGTAACAATAATCAGATAGGAATCAGTTATATAGGAATCAGTCACTAATAGTTATGTTTATTTGTGAGAAAACAAACAAACAGATGTATAACACTCTTCAACATGTCTTCATAAGACTCCCTAAGGAGACAACGAATCTCAAAATTTGTGATCTTATAAACTCACCGTATGATGTGGATTTTTAGTATTCAGAAGAAAGTACAGAAGCAGAAACTCACCTAGAAAAGAAAAGTAGCGATAATCAGTTGTATATAACAATTTGATTATATTATAAACATATTTTCTAAGTTACCACGTCGGAGAAGCTTTACTCGTAACAGTAAATACTGTACAAAGAAATGATGATGAGCTGTAGCTAAGGAGGCCTGTTTGTTTGGGAGATGATGGCTAGAGTTCGTAAGAAACGGATGCCGAACTATTAAGCCAAAAGTGAAACGCATTTAAATATCCAATTAGTAGCGTTTCAAGAATATGGAACAAAATATTCGCTGAAGCGGGGTAGGAAACGGTTTGCCTATTAGTCGTCCTGAACTTACGAACAATATAATTTCATTTTGTTGGAGATTTTTTATTTAATATAAACTACGCGTCTATGAGCAGTAAGTAATGTTTTTCCAGGCGGCCTTTGTGAGGGTTGCTGTTTCCATAAAAAAATGCCATTTCCTTAAACTGTATTCTGATAAACACAACATCAGTGTACAGCTTCAAACGTTGAGAGCTTCTACAACAATGAAAGGCACAGAGTTTATAGAAAAATTGGTGAAACATATATTCCAGTAATTTATATAAGTAATTGATGTAATGTCAATATTTTCTCCAGAAAATATTACAGAAAAATGAATTGGTTATACTAAGCAAGAAGAACGTGCTCAAGGCATGTTTGGGATTTACATTTCTAGAACTATAATTTTTATACAAATTATTGTAATGCAATAAATTCAAAATAAAATGGAAAATTCAATTTTTGAGATTAGTTCATTCCAAAATGTTTGACCAAAATATCCGAAATTGCGAAAATGGAAGGGTGGATTGACGAATGCAAAACACGTGGCGAATGGTGCTGATGGATAGAGGCTCCATATATGCTCTGAATACAACTTCACATTAGTGATACTCACACAAAAATAAATTGTAAACATCTTAAAAATAATTATTTTAAATCAATAAAACATTTTTCTAAACATTATCAATTTAATTAAACCAATCCAGATATCTTATACCACTTACAAAAATATATTTTAAACGCAACTTTCCATGTTGTCACTAGTTTTCACTTATTTTTTCTCGGGGTTGGCTATCGGAACTTTAATTAGCTCCATAGTGGCGTATTTAGAATTCGCAATCAATAAACATGCACGAAAAACAATGGATTATTACGAAATGTTTTGAATGAACGCGCGCTGTGTTACTCACTCCACGAGAAACAAAAGCAGGCTGATGTGAATCACGAACGCATGGGATGCTTTGTGGGCTGGATTCCCTGAAATGAGCGCCGAAGTAACGCTCTGACGGACAAGTCAGATATGGATCGTTTTCAACTGTTCGAAATACGAGCGGATTTACGAAAATTGAGACTAAATTTCGACGAAAAAAGTCTGCGGAAACTGAATGTTCAAAAACTACGGCATTCAAAAACCAATATTTTCGGAATACAAATGTAAAAAAAAAAGTATGTACCAGTTGTCATCATTTTTTAGTTTAAAAGTGGCCGCGCGTACAGTGATTTCCTTTAGACTGATGTCGGAGCAAATTATTAGGTATTCAAGATCATTATATACTATTATTATTGTAATATGTGTACTGTTTATACCATGTTTTTTCTTGCAGAATATTCAGTGCACTGATTAACGCATGCTAAACACGTGGCGAAGGGTGTTGATGGATAGAGGCTCCCGATATGCTCTGAACACAACTTCATATTAGTTCTTACGTAAATTAAAATAAATTGTAAACATCTTAAAAATAATCATTTTAAATCAATACAAAATAGAGGCTACATAAAAACTTGTGTTACACAAATAGCAAATCAAATATCATTTTAGAACATTGTGCATTGAAGTGCAGTTATGACCTGATCTGTGCATAAAATGCGTTAAAGGACGTTAACGGTTTTCGACAGTGTAAGTCATCGACATAAATCCTCGTGTAACATTGTAACATTGACAACAATGAAAGTTGGGTTTTATTGTGAAGCTCTTTTATTTTCATCACATTGACTTCAAAAGTGTTGTATTGTCTGA